TGTTCATGTGTGCCTCTAAGAAATACTTTTTGTTTGCAAAATAGTAGTGTGCTATCACACTATTTTCCTTAACTATGAATTGAAGCCATAGGCTTGAGCTCAAATCAGTACCCACTTAATACAGAACTATAACTATTTTCTTAAAGGTTCATGGGCTGACAGGAAAAAATTTATTTTCATTGCTACTTTGTTTTGATATTTTAAGGTTTATCAAATGTCCATAGCTGCACACTGACTTTAGGATGAGGTCAATATCATCTATCAGATGATCGATGGATTATTACTAGCACCAGTTTACACAAAATAACAACCTGTCTGCTCTAATCTTCAGACCAATTCACTATGCTTAGCGACCTTGCTTGGTAGGAATTGTTAAAAAGCCAATATGCAACCACTATTGTACACACTATTTCTTTTATATTAAAAGTATAAAACAACCCTTCACTGTAATATATCTTGGTATCTTAATGCATATTCCTTAAGTAGTTTTCTAAAATGTAGTGTTGAATGGCAAGGTAAAAATAAATGTAAGGTGTATAGGCATATTTCTGAGTAATTTAACAAAAAATACCATACTTTAAAATAGATGGTGATGTTCAGTATATAATAATGCAGTCATAAATGAATACTTCTAACACACATAGTTTGCTTAATATAGCTTTAAATCTTGTCACGTATAAATTATGTAGACAATTCTATTCAGTGTAATCTTTTTATATATCATTTTCATACACCCCCGTCAATAAAATAGCAGTGACTGCAGAATAAATGATTCATTAGATACTTATAACTTCTTGTCTCATGTAATTTATCTATGTAATTTTAAATTACTAAAGAATCCCGAGGACTCTTTTCTTGCTGAAGAATTTTGAGATAATCCATATTTTATTAAGTTTCGAGGACATCCCACACACATCAACCCACACACCCAAAATTAAGTAACCATTAAAACTCCTGTCATAATTTATATATCCATAAGGAGAAACAACTCAAACTGAAAGCTACATTGGGCAATTTCATCCTTTTTTCTTCCTGTTCACAAACACTAGTAATTATAAAGAGTTGAAGCTATCTATTTTAATTACATGAAACAATAGGAATACCACTTTTGAGTTTTCATTGTTCAGTCTGTCTTTTTTAAATTAAGTGTCCTTCCTATGGCTTTAGTATGAAAAAATAAATAAAAAAGAGGAAGAGGCATAGATATCCTTCAAGTTGTTATGGTAAATTCCTACATCATTTCTCAAATAAAAACCCGATCTAGCCAAATACTAAATTATCAGAATTATATATGTTAATCCGTAGCACATTTTACTCATTTATGTAATTTTGAAACTCACATTCATTTGATTGACTATTTTAATCTTCCTTAACTAGTGAGTAACTGAAAATAAATGGTGCATTTCTAATACTATAAATATGAAAAATAGGAAGTACTTAGAGACTGCAGGCGAATACATTAAAACCAGTCCATTTTCTAGTTAACATATTCTCATTCTGTTTGTGTATAAACCCACTGCATTGAGAAGACAGATCACAAATTCATGGCCTCACAAAAACACTGTTCCAATTTCATGTATGACAGCAGAAATTGGCCCAAATCTCTAACCATTTCCCCTAACGGACACTGGCTGGTTGATGCCATCCAGGTGCAACCCAGTCTGGAGGAGGGGAACACTGCATCGAATTCCACTCATCTGTCAGTGTAGTGGATTATTTCTTGAAAGACTGAAATTGGCTGCTCGCGATTGGAACACCATCAGTCTTACTGTAGAGGGGCTGGCGCGAGGGGAGGGGGGTCCATTGCTCAGCAGGTGAGGGGCAGCTGTAAAGCCTTCATCTCCCCCTGCTCAGGGCCCTGAGTGAGAGATTTGTCATTTTGCACATTTCCTGGATACTTGGTATGCATGTGGAGTCTGCCTGCTCTTGCTTCACGAAAGGGGCGATTTTTCAAGTTTAGGCAAATGTAGCAAAGCTCAGGGTCTGCTGGTGTCTCATTTTTTTTCATCACGTCACTTGTTTTAACCGATTTGAGAAAATGAGATTATGTTTTTTTTCTTTTTGCTCATATATCCAGCTATTTATTTATTTATTTGCTCATTTAGGGGTGGATTGTCACAGATAACTGGCCCTGATTTCTCTCTTGTTTTCATACACATTTCATTAGTGTCCCTGAAGATTTAAGACCCACAAAGAAAAACATCACAGCTCTCATCAGAAAGAGCTTATTCCTACCCTTAAAATAAAAACAAAAGATTGTATTAAAGAGACTGGCTGCAATAATCAAGAATATTGCTATAACCAAGATCTATCACTTCAATCTTTGCCGTTATTGTCTCCAAAACCCAAGAAAGTTAAATAATTGTATTACCCAGAACCACTGGACTTTCAGTTTAATACAATTTTAATCTCTTTGCATCTAAAAAGGGATATTTAGTTTCTTCTTTTTAGCAACAAAACAAAGATGGGTCTCAAACACGTAAGCACTTGGGGCTGAAATGGATCTCAATGCTACAGTTTGTGGGGTATCTGACATGTGGTTTGACTGTACCTTGGTTGTTAATAAGCCCCTTCTGAGACAACAGGAAAAAAAAAACATAGAATTTAATTTCAGTTAGAACCCAATATGAGTCTCAGTTTAAAAAATATGATATTTTAGTAATGTCTAGAAAGACACAAGTTTATTACCCATGACAGCCATGACTTTCTACCAAAAACAGGCATTAACTGATTAGTAGAGACAATCTACCTGAAAGCTTTTTGCAAGCTGAAACGGACTATTGTCGGATTACACACACAGCTGATAAAATAAGACACACAGCATCTGGTGGTATGTTCTAGCCATGTAGCACCTGGTTAAAAAAAGAAACAACAGCAAAGGAAAAACAAAAACAAATAAACAAGACACTAGGATTCTGTGCTGGTTGTGTAGATTAAAACTGGACTCATTCATATCTGAAGTGCAGGTTGTCATCCATTGAACGGAACGTCAGTAATTCCTGATATTTATGAAGTTTGCAAACACTTTCTCGGAAGTTGATTTATTTACATCCCCAACATGTTTCCAAATGGAGAAATGAGCTCAGGGAAGGAAAACCTCCGGAAGCAAGGCCGCCTTACAAGTGACAGATTTAAGATCGGCCGTCCTCACCGGTACTACTTCTGTCTCCTCTTAGAATGGCCTCCTAACTCGAGTGAGTCCACGCGTTCCATAACTTGAAAGTTTTCACAAATTACACGATTCACCTCCCCTGCCCCCAAGAGGCTTGGCCTGGCCATTTTTGTGTCCTGTGGACCCAGCGCTGGAGGGGAAATCGGGGCAGCTTCTGGCTTTTCTGCCTCAGCTAAGTAAACCGGACTCCTTGGAACTTCGCTTCCCGGAGAAGGAGCTGGGCGCTACGCCCACGTTCCTAGGCACTTAACTAAATCGCGCGCATTAACCCGGGAGCGGCGTCTCGCCCACCCACATTAGCAGGTGTTTTCAGCAGGAGATACACAAAGAAGGCAGATCTTAGCGCAGCATTTGTATGACTGCCAGAATATTTCTTGCTGAATAAACTGGGGATGAAGCGATTGAAAGTAAAACGGGGAATCAGGATCCCCAAACCCACGTTTGCATCCCCTCCCTGTGCCAGGCTCTGGACACAGGACGCACAAATACAAGCGGGCAGCAGAGACAGCGCGGTTTCCATGCCCACCTGCAGGGGCACCCGCGCCCCCTCGCCTTCTTTCCCTGACCCAGGACCGGGGAAGGAAGTGAGCTGGAGACCCAGCTCTTCAGCAGGGCGGCTCGGCGCTCTAGAGCCTGCCCCAGCCTGTGAGAAGTGGCTCCGGGGACTGTGCCGGGAGCCCCCACTGCTGCTCAGGCCTGCCCCAGAGCCAGGGAGAGACTGGGGCGTGGACCCCGGCCCGCAGCCGGAAAAAGCAGGGCGGGTTCCAGGAGGACAGGGAGCTATTTGCAGCGGGGTTGGAGGGCCCGGAGCGCTTCAGAAACTGACGATCTTCTGGGGAACTCGGCGCAACTGGTCCCCAGAGGCCGAACTTGGCCACAGTGAGCGGGGTGGGGGTGGAGGGAGAGGATGCAAAGACCCAAGCTAAAGGGAACGCGGAAGGAAATCCTCCCGGGGAGGCAAGCACAATCGAACTGGGAGGGACTGGAATCAGAAAACTGGACAACAGGCGCAAAGGAGGAGAAAACAATCTATTTTGAAGAGGGACGCCAGCAAAGGGTAAGAAATATGCTTTAAACGGGCAGACAGCGAAAGCAAAATGAATCCAAAACTAAAAATTCTATGTAGGAAAAACAAACAAACAAAAAAAATCAGACAAGAAGAAATTTGTTCCTGAAACTGCCGAAAGGGAGAAGAAAAATTTTTTTAAAAAAAAGGATTTAAAAAGATAACGAGAAAGAGAGAGAGAAACAAAAGAAAAGGCCACTGCACATGCTAGAAGAACAGAAAGTGAAGGGACAAAAGAAAGAAGGCCAATTAAACCGACAAGAAATAGTAAGTCACTTTTGAATTTCTTTTTCATTGATCACTTCCCTCTAAAGTTAGAGGACTAACATCTGCACACAATCCTTAGCTCTTAGAGATGGACACAGTATCTACGCTAGGTGAGAGGATTCCAGTAGACATGCAAAGAGAATAGCCACCCCCCAAAAAAGTCCTCAAATCTTAAAATTATCTACCACCTTTTACAGAAGCTGTGCTATTGGCCAAAGCATGCATAAACAACAAAAGACTTCTATTTATGTAGGTGTGTGGAAGGGCATAGAGGGGTCACTTAGAGAAACCCACTTTTTTGAGAAATGAATAGAAAGACCTCTAAGGCATTTTGGTATTCTCTCCTGCCCCCAGAGCTCTCAGCCAACAATATGGCTTGAAACTCAAAGGTCAGCTGCCCACACTGTAGTACTTTCTGTCCCTTGTATACGGCCATCTGTTAAGGAGGCACGGGTGAATGTGGAGGAGGTTGCAGTGAGGCAGCCCCCGACTTACCTGGTCTGTGCAGGTGGTGCTGTTGGAAGGTATTCTGAAGCGACCCGTGACAGAGCAGCATTGCACAAGCACTTATCCACAGGTACAGGACCCAGGACATTGCAGAGACCATTGCCATTCTCTAAAGAGAACGTGAGACACAAAAGGTCACCCCTGGTTTCAAACCTCCTGCTCAGTCAGCCCCACCGATGAAGAGAGGGAGGTCTCAGACGTCATGTTCCTTTGCTATTTGGCTGGTGAGAAATAACGATCCAGCAGAGGTCATGCCAGGAAGTGGAACTGAGGGAAAACCCTTTCCAGAAGATCATAAATGCATTTTTAAAATTCTGCAAAATAAAATTCCAAGGGTTGCCAAAATACAAAAATAAAGTTTGTGTTAATTAGGCAGTTGGAAACATCACATGCCAACTAAAAATCTGACTTTACACAATGATCTGAAAACTAGATAGCCCAGGAATTAAAAAGCTGCAGACTGGTTCATTCTAACTTCATTGCAAGTCTGACATAAGCCTGGAAGGAGAGAGTGGGTTCTTTTTTTTTTTTTTTTTTTTTAATCCTACAGTCATGAATTTTTAATCGCAATGCTGTCTTCTAAACTAAGTAATCATTTCTCAGAGGCATGTTGTCATTCGATAGAACCGATCTTTCTGGCTGGACTTAAAATCAGAAAGAATTATCTTCAGCCAGAATGAGTTTCAGATGAAGATCTCTGTGCTATCCTAAAGCCAGCTGTAATTTACAATACTGCTTTGCCTCCTAAGGTTCGTTCCATTGTGGCATTTGCTGTATAGCAGTGATGAATATGCATACGCAGGTGGTGTATATATTTATGGGTGAACATATACCTTTTCTCAGGTGCTGAAACTTTGACACTCTTCTCTGCACCTATGAGTATCTTAGGAGCCACAGAGGCTCAACTGCGCTACATATCGTCCAATTTCTCACACAACACCTTATGCTGCATTTCCTTTTGCCAAATTAATCAAACTTGAAGCTTCATTCTTACTCAGCCAGTGATTGGAGGCATTTTCTATATAAGAATCTGGTTAACTCTATGCTTTTCTCTTAAGAGGGCTGTGGAACCAAGATTGTTTCTTCTTTTCTTTTCCACTGCCAAATGATACCCTTCCACAATTGCAACTATACATTGAAACGTGCTAGAGACCTCCCAGGGTGGCCTCTTTCTTTATTCAAAATTGGCACTCTTGCAAAAACTGTGATGCTGGGAAAGCAAAAAATATACATTATACACATATATTTGTGCACATGGCACAGGATGATTTGTGGGTTTCAGAAGTGAGATAGAGAGTCTGGGGACTATAATAGAGAAATGGTGACGATTATAATTAAGCACAAAGTAGAAAAACATTATTTTCAACAGCATGGTGCTACTGGTGCCCTCTCTGTGATTCAGAGGGGCCACTTTAAATCCGTTCACTGCCCACTGTTTACTTTTGTAGATAGCAGACTTTACTTCATTGTTTTCAGAACTATTGGGATAATATAAATGCATTCTCCATACAGGAAAAATAGCAACACCCCTCCTGTAAATCCTCCAATGAATGCCTTTTAGGGCCTTTTCAGAATGCCCTGCAAATTGCAGAAAGACAAAAAAGAGGTGACCGGCATGCATTTTCTGCATGAGAATCACTGCTAAAATGCACTAAGAATTAATCAAAACTTTAAAAAATCCCACCTCAATGAAAACTTAGCTGTTATTCAGTGACTCTGCTTTGTTTTGCTTGCTTCTTTACCCACACAGATCTTAGCCCTCAAAAAGATTACTGTGACTTGACATTTACATTTTCCTTTTTTTTCCTCTCTCTCTTCACATTTAACTTTCTTTAATTCACAGCATTACTTCTGAGCCTCCTGCCTATCACTCCCCCTGCTCGCTCTCGTACAGAGAGGTGGTCCTAACGTTAGCGTTTTCCCCCAAATAATATATCCAGCCTTGAGCAGTTTTCTCGATAGGGCTGAGTATGTTTCAAATCTGCTTTCTGGATCTAAAATCTTTAAAGAGGTTTCTTACCTGAAAAATCCAGCCAAGAGCAGAGTACTCTATTAGTGTTCATTGGAAAGATCTAACACTTTTTAAAATCCATCTGTGTCACAGTTATGAGATTTTCAAGAAAGAGCTTCCCAACAATCTTCTTATCAGGAATAAAAAAAAAAATGTTTTTCTCTCTGATCCTAGTTCCACAGTGAAGAAGACATCAGGTTCATTCAGACTGTATTGTCAGAAAAGGAGCCAACGTTTGAGGGGTAGAAACCTCGTCATTTTCACCTTTAAATCATCTCTTGGCGTCACCTCTGCCAGACGAGAGCTTTGAAGTGATGGTGAGAAAATGTACAGCTTCCTGATGAGAATCAGTTTATAGTCACCAATGGACCATCCCCGCTCCCGTGCCTTCACGGCAGAGTTAGGCAGGGAAATGTAAGAGCCGGACTGCTATACCGTGCTGTAAGTAGCAGTAGTCTGTTTCAATACATCCCTCCGCTCTGAAGTATCACATGTCTTAAAGTGACATTGCCTCCTATTACAGTGACTGGATTCTAATATCTGCCCCTAACCCTAAACAACTCAAGCAGTCCTTTAACTCTGTATTGCCTGAAGTAATATGTTAGAGAATTTTCTGATCCTATTCATTTGCCAAAGCAGTAAAGAAAGGAGCAACAAAAGAAGAAAATACTCTGCAAAATATTGGTAGTGTTAATGGATGTCAGGCTTCTAACAGGAAATAGGAAAATAAAATGTATGCCATTTATTACCTCTTAATGTTCTTTTAGTCGGTAAGTTAACAAAAATACTGTTAGGCTTATGCTAATTTAATTCTGTTTGTTATTCTGGCTGCTAAATCTGGGAATAGAATATATCAGGAATACAATAGAGACATTTATGATTTTTAAGCCCCCAAAAACCATCTGAGTTTTTTGAACAGGTTTAATAGGTCTTTCTCAGCACCAGACTGAGATTCAATGAAATATGCTAAGGATTCTTGTTTTTAAATATTTTGCTTTCCCTAGAATAACATGCTGGGATGGGGAAAAGAAAGACTTAGAAGGTCAATCTTGTTTCTAGTACTATGGTTTGAACCCTTCCTCCTTAGAGATGTAGTGTAATTGTACTTAAACTCAAAGATGCATGTAAGGTGACCTCCTCTTCATTTATACATGACACTAGTACTGACTCTCCAAAATATTCATTTGCTTCACAGATCACTTGTAAAGCACCTACTATGTGATGGGTTCCTGGAACAGAGCAGAAAGCATGATTCAGTTGATCATTTCTGTCTCAGATCATACTGTCTAGTCTTCTATATTATTTCCAAAATGGACTGGGGCAGTTCTCATAATTTTCTCCCCTCAAAGACTTTTCAAAATTTCTTAGGATGTTCTCTTGCCTTTTGCAGAGCTTATACATGAGGGCCAATGCTGTTGTACTTCTGGAGAAGCCATTCTCCTCTCTGTGTTATGCAGAGTGAAACAGAAGGAGGTCCTCATCATTCATCATACTCTTTCCCACTGGTCATTCACACTGCACAAAGCACATTAAGAGATCCTTGTAACACGACAATTGTTCATTAAAATTTAGCTCTAAACAAATTACAGTGAATATTAATCTAAAACTAAGGTCAGAAAGCCAAAGTTCTACTTGGCATTACACACTTCATTTCTGTAGTTCATTATTGTCATCTTAGTGTGTATATTTAGAAAGTTTATGTTAAGTGTGCGGTATCAAGACACAAGTAATAATAACCACAACAGCAGCAGGTAATGATTACCAGACCTTCACTATGTGCTAGTACTATTCTACACTATGTCTTGTAAAGTATAATTTAATCCTTTGTACTAACCCCTTAAGATGAGTAGTATTATTATTTCTATCTCTTCAATGGGAATCATGAGACAAAGAAAGAATAGCCAAAGAACTTAGTCAAGATAGCTGAGTTATTGAGCAATAAAGCAGATTTCAAACCCATATGATCTAGCTGAAAAGCTTATCTCTATTATTGATTGACAGATTACATTTGGGGATAAATCCATGAATTCCCATGCACCCCTTGCCAAAAAGTCCATCTTATAAACAGTGACTTAAAGTACTTTATAGAAAAAAATGACTTAAAAAAATCTACCACCATACTTTCTTATTTCTTTAACATTAAGACGGTCACGAAAATTACTATTCATTTATTCAAGAGGCATATATTACTTCAGGCATTTGAAATATACAAGTGTGTAAGATAGCCCTATCCTATGATTAGTTGTTACTTTTTATATGCTAATGAACTAAAATTAAAACTAAATTCACATTTGCTAATGAAGATTATCATTCTGAAAAAGTAGCCATTATATATTTTATTTCTAGGAATCAAATTAAGTTAACTACAACTTCCCTCAATTTCATAAACTTGACACATCAACTCATGGTTTAAGTTCTGGGCACTGGAACAGGCATTGCTGAAAATATTTTTAAATGAAAAGCAAAAACCCAAATGTGGAAAAATAATTCTTGACTGATATTCTTCTATACAGGATGAAGCAATACTCGTAATATAGTTCTATTTTTTTTTCCTTCTAAATATCTTGCAGTTCACTGCATTGCTACTAGAGATCATCAACAAATACTGAACTTTAAGGTCATTTAGTCCATTTCCCCAACCCAGAACAAAACCACTTTCACATTTTTAGAGAAGTTGAGCTTTCCACCTTCTGACCTTAGTAGGATTGCATATTTTTACGGTTAGGTGGATCATACACTTCTAGTCAGTGGGGTGTCAGCAGAAATAGTATTACTTTGAGGCAGGAGCATTTAATTGTTGAAGGAATGCCTCTAGATCTCTTTTTGATCCAGGTGTGGTGGTGCATACCTGTAATTCCAGGACTCTCCTTCCAGCCCAGCCTAGGAAATGTAGGAACTCAGCAAGACCTGTCTCAAAGTGAAAAATAAAAAGGGCTGGGAGGTAGCTCAGTGCAAAGGCCCTGGGTTCAATCCCCAATACAAAAAAACAAAAAATGGTCATTACAGATTTCTGTGATTCTGAAGCATGGATTAGCTGCATGATTGGCTTGAATCATGAGTGACAATAATGAGACCAAGTTTTCCTTCTTCCTTACCAACCCATATGGCTGTACACCATGAGTAAGAAAGAGTCGGCTATTGATGAAATTGAGTTGTTCTTGTAGCATAAGCTCATCTATCCTGACTGATTATACCTGTACTATACATTTCTTAATTGAAGTGTTGTGTTCCACTGCCTTCCCTAAGCTGTGAGGAGATAATGGTATACACGTTAATTCTCCTCTTCATAGAACCCACTGCAGTAGAAATTTATTGGGAATTTTGACCAGGACAGTGAAAAATCCAAAGCACTGGTGATTGCATCTGAATCCCCTTGGGGTTCTTATGAGCCAGGACTTACAGGCTGGTCATCTGGTCCATTTTCAAGCTCTGCTCTGCCACTCTTGTCACGGCAGCACAATGGCTGAAGGGCAAAGGCCTACAGCGTTGTTGTTTTACCCATCAAGTTTCATAAATTCCTGATACTTCAAGCATTGGGGAGTTTGAGTCATGTTCCAGAACAAACTCCTAAACATGCACATTTCAAACACAGTAGAGTTTATGTACATGTACATTTGTGTCTCTAAAAAGAAAAGAAAACCCTTTTCATTAGAACTTCTCCCATAGAGACCCATGTTAATTCAGGAGAAAGACTCCAGGAAGGCAACTGGGGCCGTTACAGTTCAAAACAACAACTCAGAGTGTTAAATAACCAAGAACTTTCAGCAAACTACCCTGCATAACAACAAGTAGGGGTGGGTAATCAAGGATAACAGTGGAAACTGGAGGGAGGAAAACAATGGTGGAGAAGAGACACTAGAGGCTGAGAGAGCAAAGTGATGAAGAGAACAGAAGTGTCCGGTTGTCTTGGTGGAAAAGTTGTGGGTTATGCCTGTCACCCCAAGTGATATTAAATGTCTTCGAAAATGAAAACAGCCTCACATTTCCTTAGTATGAATAAATTACCTGGAAAAATCCGAGGAAGGACCTGAATCCTAAAGCTAGCCACAAGTGTCACTATGCATTTATTTACTCAAGAAGAGAAAGTCACTTGTTTCCTTTATTACTACACTTCTTATTTCTTCTTATGAGAAATGAAAGTTGAGGGTTGGGTATTTAGCTCGGCGGTATAGTTTGCTTAGCACACTCAAGCTCTGGGTTCAAATCATAGCACCAGAAAAGAAAAATTGGAAAAAAAAAATTAAAGCTGTCCTTAGCTCAGCTTAACAAGCCAATTAGAAATGCTAATTTTGATTCACAAATGTGTAGGGAAAAATGTAAAACACAAAATTTATGTCTATGCATATTTCTAAAAGTAAAAACAATGAAAAGAATTTAGATAAATCACATCTGGACTAAGAAATATGCCAGTTTCAGTCCAGTGCAGAGGCTTAGATGTACACCATTTAAGTCAGTTCTAAGTATTTCTTGAAATAACATGTTTTGGTTGTGATTTCACAGCTCCAACGCTTTTTTTTTCTTGTTCTATCTCAATTGGCTAATGAAAATGGTGACATTAAATAGAAGGATCATTGACGCGGCACTTTATGTGGAATTCCTGTGTATCCTGCATCATTCAAGCCCCGTTCCTCTTCTCTGCATTAATTCGGGCTGTCCGTCAGTGAGTTCACAGTGTCTACTTTATACCCCAAATGATGTGAAGGCAGCAATATGCCTTTTCCCTTGGCTAAGTAGTAATGTGACCCCATCTCTCTCCCAGAGCCTACTTTCATAAATCATTTATGTTGCATCTTTTCTTTCCTAGCACCACACAAATTCCGTCTACTAGGAAGTCCTAGCATCTGCCCCCTCGGAAGCACACAGCTACATCTCTAACTTGTATGTCTTATGTGTGGGACCTAAATAAAACATATACACTTGCTTATTTATTACCCTAGTCTGTACCTTACCTTGTTTCAAAGTATAAGAAGAGGGAAAGGATGATGAAAATAAAGCAAAGGCAGAATAAGGAGAAAATTGTGAGTTGATACTGATGATTATGATGCTAATATTTAAATACTTATTTTTTGGAGGTGTGGACCTCTATCTTAATGGCAAGCACTGGCTGGGCCTTTACATGTAATGTCTCACATAACACTTACAGAAATGATAATAAATCCATATTACGAAGATTTCCATTTTA